TTTTTTTTTTTGTTCAAACACTGAATGAGTAAAGGATTGAGAAACCGAGGTAACTTCATAATCATACAATAGTGATTTGTCAATCATAAGGGAGCCTCAGCCTGAGCCCAGCTAAAACACACCAACGTTTTATTGCCTATTTTAATTTTGGAAAAGCAGTTGTGAAGATCCTAATCACAATTCGGTGCACACCAAAACATTCACACCGAGACCCCTTTGGAAGAGATGGTTTTGGTCTGGGTCCAAGAGAACTACAAAGCAGTTTCTTTAAGATGACTTCCATCAGCTACCAGAGCTATTTCTATTTCCATATCTGGCCAATAAGTGGACTGAATGTGACACATTTGTGGTTTGACCACAGTTTTCTTAGTTTTCTCTGTGTGGACCAGAGGAAAGGAACCTGTGAAGACTTGAAATTAGCCAATGAGAAAGCTTAGTGAGAATGCAGATTTAAGGTATTTCTGAATTTGCTTCACTTTCGAGACACCCTCCATGCTACATCCATCGTATATATACAGTCTGTGGAAATAAGTGCATCAAAGCTGTTTCCTGTAGGCAACTGAAACTAGCTGTTGTCATGCTTCCTGTCATTATGAGAAGCTAAGCTCCTGGCTATCAGTTTCTCATCTAAAAATTGAAGCTTTTACATAAATGCGCATTAGAGGATTGGAGTTTGTTGTTGTCTGAATTCATGGTTATACAGCACAGCACGTGGCAGAGTATGATTATGATTAATGATGATTAATTACTGTAGAGTCATAGGAAAGGATTAAGATATTTCAGACCAATATAAGCTCACTTACTGTTGAAATGTTTTGTAACGTCACAGAGCAGCCTCCATGTGCATCGTACAGGGTGTCTACACTTTGAACATGTTCAGTTTACCCTCAGTATAATGATAGTAAAGTGGATTGTCTGTGTCCTCGCTCTGGTCAAGGACAAAACCAGCTGCTCTGTGGGGAGAATAACCTCTTAATTGCTGTTCTTGAGACATGCATAATTGAATTAATAACCAGTCATCTTGACTCACTTCTATTCATCTTACCTCGTTTTGCTGTCTTGAAAGTACATAAAAGTGAAACGATGGGGGGGAAAAAATCAGCTCTTTCTTTGTGTTTCTACCTGTCTTTCATGCCCTGAATACAGAAAACACTCTGGCTTTGTGTCACCTACACAAATCGTGACAACAGTCAGCCTCCTGCAAGAGGAGCTGACCTTCACATAAGTGCAGTGCTGCTGTTTAGCAGAGCTGGACTTCACGTTAGGGCGTTTTTCCAGTTAAAGTGAAATCGGTGAACCGTGGAGCTGCTTGATGAGTTGTTCAACTTCTTCTAATCAAAGAAAATCTAAAGTGACAACCATAAACCTCCAAAGCTTTCCTTACTTTGTGCCAGAGTTGGAAATTTGGACAGATATGGGGACTTGTTTTGCAGCTACAATATGAGCTGGTGTTTCACTTAGCTGTGCTATTTTGGTATGTAGTTGTAGCGTGTCATGTTGCCCGACATGCCAGGCACTTTCGCTGGCTCAGGAAAGGTGGACGCGGGGCTACTGGCTCTCAGAGGTTGGAGGAAGCAGACCCTTTAAAGGAGAAGTACTGTCAGAAGAACAAAGAGAAGCAAAAACATTTTCCTGTTTTGGTAATCCCGACGCTCCCAGAGGGTGCAAAGCCACAGCAGGCTGCCTGTTGTTTGTTGTCTTAATTCACAGATGGTGAACAGTGATGCTCAGTTGATGTGCTCATTTAGAGTGAATTTAACCCTTTTCAGATGGATGCAGAAATTAGGACAAATCCATGTTTGTGGGTCAAAACCTCACTCATCAGCAGCCACTAGCATCCCCCACCTCTCCTGTTTTAGGACCCCTAAAGCAGAAGCATTTGGAAACACTGCTGACCCATTTTCATTTTCTGCACAGCCTGAAACTGAAACTTTGAGATACTTCTGGATCGTGTTTGATCAGTCACTACTTATCCTTCCTTTATGCACCATGGTTCTACCCCATAACTGTTTTGTGGAAGGAAAAAAAGACATCTCTGGCTTGGCTAGCAGTATTGAATTTAAAATCAAATACAGGTGTCGGCGACCTTGTGTTGTGATAATTGTGCAGGGAAATTCTGCATTCTTTCATGACAATCCTGCCTAAATGCACAGGAGGTACACTCAGTCTACTTGAATGGTGCATTTTCCGGCAGACGGACATGAATGGTATGAATGTGAAACACTCTTCTGGAAAGAGGTCGTTTGCATCTAGATTCTATTTTAAAATGAAAATGTATTCATGTGGACATGGCCTTAGACCATCTGCAGTCTTTGCAATCACATCTCCTGCTGTAGCAAAGCTGACAGCATTTTTTTTTTAAAATTTGCACACAGTGTTTTTTCAGTCTTTTGAAATATTTTCTTTCCCACATGAATCAGGGTACATTTCCACAAATCGAAGGTCTATGCTCTAAAATCTGTAAAGCCACT